TTTTTTTTTTTTTTTTTTTTTTCTTTAAATTTTCCTGTAATTTTTGGTAAAAATGTTCAACTATTTTACATACACATTAGTACATTCCATTTAATTATAACACTTTTAAGAAATTTTTTTCTTGTTTGATAAATTATCTTGACTTCTCTGCCAGGTATCGCAATCTTATGTTATGATCCGTATCTAAACTCAGGTTTGGTATAACTCTCTAATCTGTAATTTCATTAAAGTCTCTTTTTTTTTTTTTTTAAATCAGGGTGTAGTCAATCTGACTCTTAGTATCTGGATCATCATTCGTTTATTCTCGGTAAATACTTGTTCTTTATGTTGAAAGAAGGTACTGGTAATTGATGTGGAGTGAACAACCAACCCTACACTGTAGACTAGTCGTAACGCTGACATCCCTAGCGGGCACGTCACATTTCAAATTTAAACCCGTCCGGGAGGGGGGGGGGGGGGTTATATAGTCCCTCATAATAATATATACCTCTATCTGGTGACTTAAACATTTCTAGACCCTCTAGTTGATTTGAGAAGTCTACATTTTCAAACTTTTAACTGTGGGATAAATATTTCTCGAATTTTATTCAGAAATTCCTGTAAGCCTTTTTACTCCTTCGGCACGAATACAGCACTTCTTTTCTAGAGACGCAAAGCGGAATCTGGGGCGGGCATTCTTTTGCCAGACCTCTGAGGTGTCGGGAGACTTTTTAAATTCTCTCATTAAACTTGGGCGTATTCAAAATACCAGTTTAATATTTGAAGGATTCCTAAGCTTTGAATGATACCTCCTTGGAGGTCAGGCAGACGAATCACAGTCCAACCAACAATCACCAACCCATACCATCCCTATCACCAAATCTACCCAAAATTCTACCTATTGTTTCCACAACCTCAACATGGCAGGAGCTTGTGTGTGAGTTCCAGTGACTGAGAGACAGTATTGCAGGTCACCTGTGTCATCAATCCAAGGAAGCCTTCTTCAGGAGCTTTGTTGGGCTCCAGTGCAGTTCCTTTGTCCTCATATGTGAGACGATCAGTGTTTACCAGATCAACCCGAGGCAAAGCGATCTTTTGAGTCAGCCGATTCAAATCACCATGAACTGAGGGGAGCAGTGACCTACCAAATTTGATAAGTAACAGCTGAGATGACATGCCACTTGCTTTATTTATATTGCTACCTATAATTCACAGTGATGAATCATGCATTCTCTGAGAACTTAATTGGCTGTTGCAACATCATCGCTGTGACTTCAAGTCCTGAGCTCCATTCAATGGAAACTATCTTGATTGTCTTGAGATTTATATATAAACTAGCTGTACCCGGCCACGCGTTGCTGTGGCGTAATTTGGCTACATGGAAAATAGAGAACATAGAAATGTGTCTTCCCTTCACGCTAGCGATGTACAGTGCAACAGCTAAACCACAGCTAATAAAACTTTGAGTGGGTAAGGCAGTTACTGTAACTTAAATCTATCTCAGTAAACAGTTTATTGTAACCACTCATCCCCCAGTTCACATTCTACTTTCTCCTTCATCGAAGTAGTTGGAAAAATCACTCTAGTGAAAAGCAATGAAAAGTGGAAAAATACACCATAATTACGAAATGAGCACATTTGCTAATTGCTGTAAACAACCCTGCACGCGTTGCTACAATGGAAAGTGAATTGAAAGGAAAATCGCTTTAACAAAATGTAATTATATTGGATCATTGTGCCGGTAATTTAACATTAAAAATGTGTTTACTGAAGTGCTTTTGTTAAACAATATTCTTTGTTCTTCCGTCTGGCGCGTACAAAAATAAATTAGAAGGTTTTCCGATGCGTGAACAGGCCACATATAGCAGTCCATGTAAAAAGCATGGATGTTCCAAACGTAGTCCACACACTTGTATGGATTGTCCCTGTGATTTGTTTATGGTCATTGCAAAGGCGAGTCGCACCTGAAGCTGCAAGCGTCTGAAGTCAAGTGGCATGTCTGTTGGAATCATTGGGATGGGTGGCAAAAGTATATTCTCACCCTTAAATTTCCCATTTAAAATTGTACCTTCGATGACATTGAGCATCAGCCTTTTCACTGAAAGCCTGGTACCATTGCAAAGACGTGGCGGATTGATGTTTCTGAGAAGAATGATGGGCACGCCAATTTTCACGGTTAAAATGTGGGGTGGCATGCCTGGCAAATCAAGTGAATTTAAGAACTCAGTTGGATAATTAACAATTTCGTCCTGATTCATTACAGTATTGATAGACTTATACGTTGTCACACCGCCTGGTAATTTGTCTTAGATGTTCGGATTCATGGCAACTCACGATCGAAAAGGTTGTTTGCAGATTGTACAGCCAGTCCCACCTGAACCAGTGCTTTGTTAGTTATTGTCAAACATATGTCCTCAATGCAAACAAATGCCTCATTATATACATTTGGTATGAATTGAAGGTCCTGATCATGCTTCGTTTCACGCCAGGATGTCTTCACTCATGTAGTCTTTGTATTTTTTCCAAAGCTCTTTTGGAATGAATGGGAAGCAAGTTGTTAATATTATTGCAAATAATGTGCGTATTTGCTGTGGTCGAGCAGTATTCGAAGCATCAGCGAGTGAAGTGTCCCAATGTGCATCATTTTCAAGAAGATTTAATTCTTGACAACCTTCACGGTAAGTAGCGCATACTTTACCATAAACTGTTCTCAAGTCCTGGAAGGATGCCGGTCCCCGTTTGTTGATTAAAAGTAATCGCAAGTAAAAGCAATCTGCATTTTTTGGGATGAACAGTGTACAGACGGCCTAAAATATCAGTAGAATATAAATTAAGATGTCCGTCAACCGCTTGACCTTGCTTGCAACGTTGAAACATTTTAGCTGATGCATTCCATGTGTAGTATACTGGCAGGTCAGAGTAAAGCAGTGTCTTTGCAAACATATCTCTACACAATGAGAAAAATCAGTTAACGTGGTTGGCGGTGGTAACAATGCTCGTGCATGTGCATTCTCTGTAGTGAAGTACACGCGCTGTCCATTGTCAAGGTGCACTGCTAAATGAACAACTGCTGGATGTCATTCATGAATTGGAAATGAGAAAATGCGCCATACCGCTTCATTGCTACTAATGTAGCGCCCCAGCTGATATTGCTTGATTTCATCGATAGATGCAGCTGCATGTCCCATTCCAAAGACTGCCATATCGCCTCCTTTGTTGACATATTTGCAAATGTACTTATGTTTGCCAAGAAATGTGTCGACTGGCCTGGGTCACCAATGATGATAATGGTTCGGGTGGTGAATGTAATACTGGCCATTTAACTTTTCCACCAGCGCAGCACATACCCGGCATGTCATTCTTAAATTTGGAGGCACTGCAATGTACGCACAATTTATCCATTTTGCCAACAAGCGAGAGTGGATGAAGACCAATCATAATTGCTGGTGTAATGGAAGGCACCAAGATTCAAATCAACATGCAGTGTTCGCCTGGATAAAGTAGTGCGCATTTGAACGTTTTCGAGTCTTGCTTTCCGTTGCTGGTCTGATTGAGATGAACGGGCTTCAGCAGTGCGCACTCGAATGGTTTCCAGTCTTACCTCACATTGCTCGTCTGTTTTTGAAGCAATTAATGCCCTCCTCTTGCGTGTTTTAGGTGTAAATGGGCCAATCGCTTGTCGTTTGGGAAGCATAACTGCAAATTTTGTGAGCGCTGATCATCAGTAGCTTGTTCATCCTCATGATGAAAGTTGACTTGAAGAATCGCTGATATATATATATGTTGAAATTATTACATGTTTCAAACATTTTCATGGCTGACTTGGGTGTCCCTGTTTCACCATTCTAACTGGCTAGCTTTTATGTTTGTGTGATTAGTGAGTGTAATCTGTGTTAACATGGCTATCAAAGTATTCTATTATTACCTGAGTGCTATCTTTTTATAGTAGTGGGGGTGTCCAGCCAAGTGTGCCTAGGAATATGAGATATTCTGTAATGCCAGAGCTTCAGTTGCCCTACTCCTGAAATAAGTTGAGGGTATATTGGCCACGGGATCTCCCTTAGACCAATACGAGCCAACGCCTCAACATTATTATTTCAGAGTGCTGTTGGTTTTTAAGGAGCAATCCTTAAATCAGGCACGCGACGCGAGCGGTATGTGACAGTAATAACATAAATAATGTTGTACACATATCTTTCGCCATTTTCATTTCTAAAGCTGTTATCTCCATTACTACCTAGGTATCTTGTAAATGTTCTTCTGTCCGTCCTGTCTCACCATTTAAAATCGCCCATCACGATCAGCTTTTCAATATTATCTATCTTTCAATTTCGTCATCCAGGTCCTCAAAGAATTGATCTAAATCATCCAAACAGTAATTTCTTTTGCACGGAGCATATACTTAAACAGAAAAAAAAAACATCTGAACTATTTCATGCTTTTAATTTCAAGCTAATAATTCTTTCCGAAATGTAGCTAAACTTCAAGTATATTTTTTGTGCAGTTTCGGGGTCGATGATAAATCCTAATCCATGTTTTGCACGTTGCATTTCCTATACTCCCGATTGAAACAATACATAATTTTTATGTAGTTTCTTCATTTCTCATTCTTTCATTCTCACTTCTAATGAGCCGAATACTTTAACATCATATTTCTCCGATAATTATATCACTTGTTATGCTTTATTGCCCTATCCACATACATTTATTGTCCCTACCCTGGTCTTAATCTCTTCTGGCCCCTATTTTCCCGATTTTTAACACATATGTTTTTTTTTCACCTTTAGCATTTATAACTTTTCCAGGAATAAACACCTTTATAGCTATCTAGAACTTGCTTTCCCTTGTCAACAGATTAACAAATATTCCACAGTATGTCCTTCTTCCTTTGAAATAGTGCTTTTGTTTGGGCTATTTTATGTACAATTATTTACACCTGTACACGAGGGCGGTTAATCTAACAGCCAGCTATTATATACACTGTTTATTGTATTATTACGTTAAGAAAACAGAATGCTTACTTTTAGTAAAGGAAGCCGAAAATCCAAACATATTCACAGAATCATCACTGACAAACTTCACGTATAAGTGATTTGTCGTAGAGTTAACGACACCGGGTATTCTATTTCCGCAGTGTCTGCTCAAGAACGGCGATGTGTCGTTGAGACCGTCGCGAAATTCCAGGTAGTCAGATTGGCAGTTTGGCGTATGTTCCATCTAATCGAGGCCAACAGCGGTGAAAAAAAAGAGAACAAATATTACAGCTGTCAAAAATAACAAGACTCCTTTATAACAACAATACAAAGAGTTTTGAATTTTATAAACCACACAATTATTTTATGCTTCAGATATGAGTTAAACATTACAAATTAGTAGATCTTGCAAACTATCTGGCGTCCAGCAGCTTTAAAAACCCGTTTATATGCTGACCAACTAGTAAGTTCTCCTCATTTAATTTGATTTGCGAGATATTTGTTTAAGTGTGAGGTTTTGAAACGTACTATCATTATCATCATGTAGCAGGTCCTTTGCAGAACGTCGCTCTCATCACAGTCTGCCTGTAAGAAACTTGGTCTCTTGCCAGTTCTCCCGCCTCATGAACTTTCACACTCAAGGAGTCACTTATATCCTGTGCCCATCTTCATGTCGGTCGGCTTCTGCCCCTCCTTCCTGGTACCATGCCTTCTGCTATAATTTTTTTCCAATCCGTCGTGGCGCTTGATATGACCAAAATATTTCAGCTTTCGAGAAAGGATGCTGTTTATTAGCCAATCTTCCTTGATGTTCAGATCTTTTAAGATGTCAATATTTCTCATCTTCTTTGTCCAAGATATTCTGAGAATCTTTCTATAGCATTTCAGCTTAAAAGCCCCTATTCTCTTTCTTAAGGACTGAGAGATAGTCCTTAAACGTACTACAGATAAAATAAAAATGAAGTAACATTCCATTAGCACGAATTCAAAGGACAGAAAATCAGGTCTGTGTTAACAAAAATTTTAAAAAAAATCCTTCTAACTAAGGACTAGTACAGAAAAATAAAGGCCGCCTTCAGGTGTTTTGGAAATATAGATGTAGACCTATAGTTTAAAGATGAATCTTTGCTTTGTAGGCGATCTGGTCAGCAACACGCTTGCCGCCTATACTTCCTATTACTGCACTTGGTAACCACTCAAAGCTGGGTCCAACTGGGAGTAAAGGTAATTTGAAAAAACATTCAGCTCCATCAGGACCCGAACCCACGAACTTCCGAACCTCAGGGAAGTGTCTATCCGCTACACCACAGTGACTTCAACCCGAGGACTAATAGCTGTAACACACATCCCTGCTTAAACTAAAATGTGTTCATATTAACAGAGTCGTCTTAAGCTATTTCTTGTTAACTAAGCTTTGCTCTGCGGCTGTGGCTAAGGCGTTGCGAGTCTGACTCGTAATCCAACGTACCGCGATCGAAACCCACTGCTGGCTGCGTGGATTTGTATCGTGGTATGGGACGTCGCAGGTCGACCCAGCCTCAAATGGGTACCAGGATGGGCTGTCCTGGGAAAGTAAAAGACGGTCGGCGTAATGATGACCACATTACCCACCGAGTGCCGATTGGTCTGTAAAAATATGGGTGCTCTTCCCATATGCCCGATGCGCGTAAGAGCGTGTAAAGAGAACTTTACTTTTACTTAAGTTTTGCTCTATAGCTAAACTTACACAATAGCATTATAGAAATAAAGCTAAAATAACTCAATAATATTTTTTAAAAACACACACACACACACACACAAAAATAGCCACATACACGAAAATAGTCAAACGTTACGGATATAATAAATCCGTCCTCCACAGTTATTCTCCAAACGCAAGTCTGCTGGTTGGGATATTCGCCAGGATAGTTCGGGCTGACGAGCAGTCCTTCATTCTTGGTGATCTCCCCTCCACATGTTACTGTCGAGATTAAACTGATTTCTTAAACAAAATATTTAATTATTATTAGCGCATTGAATAATCTATCATTAATCCTTTAATTGATTAGTTCCTGTGTGAAATTACTGGTTTATAAATTTCCTATTTCAAATCTATTTCTACCCTTTAAGATACAAATTAGTTATCTTACTTTTATATCTTCATTTCGTATTCTGTAAGTGAATAAAAGAGAACCCTGCACGAAATTATAAACATGTTAGGTAAGTTCACGTAAATCTCACTAAACCGAGGGGGTTACTTTTCATTCACAAGTTTTTTTAAGATGGTTGACTTTTCTGAAGACTGGTGGTGTGTCCCGTTCTCTTGTTTGCTTTTTGGGTTGTCTTGCATACTACGTTTTCATCCGGAGAAAGAGAATGCATGTGTCATAGGTTGATGCACTCTCTACGGAGGTTGTGTTTGCCAGTTTCTCCATGTTTTTGTTGTGTTAAAAGCGCTGACGTACTGAAATATACAACACACGATATCAACAGCATTGCGGAACACCCTCGAAACCTTGTTCCAAAGTGACAGGTTCATAAACTACCAATCAGAAGTGAGCTAGTGTCTATATGGACGGATGCGTATGGAGACTAACGTTACCTTAACTAAACGTTAATATGAGGGGGGGGGGGGGGGGGGGGGGGGGGGGAGCTCACTCTATAAAATAGGGTAATAAAACTTTTGAGGGCTTTTCTTTGTGTTAGTATAATTTTTTTTTTTTTTTTTTTTTTTGCGTACCATAAAGTGACATATTACAGTATTAAAAATGTGTAATCTCTGCCTTCAAAGATTATAGCACAGATTTAACTTAAAAGTACAACAACAAATAACCTACTGTTTCTTTGTCATTTAACTCTGAAAGTCCTTGTTTGGACTGCAATCTTGTTCCAGACTTGAGTTTTGCTTACACATCCTTTGTCTACATTTGAATTATTTGTGTGCAGAATATTGGTTCTTTGTCTCTCAGGCACATGCACTCCTACTTCGAAGTAAGCATCTCTAATTATTCACCTTGTACGACATGTTTACTATGAGGTAGTGGGTCTATGGGCCCCTGCCTACCCTCTAATTGTGGTCCCCCATTTTCACAAGGGGAATACTTTGTAATATAATCTAGCTACGTGGCCAGACTGTCTGATTTCTTGTCCTTTCTATAATAGCGCTACTACGAATGTTGTTTCTTTTTGTTGCCTGATATGAACTTGTCTGACATACCCTGTTCTTGTTAAGTTCAGTGTTGTTAATGAATACATTTAAAAGAAAACATTAACTAGCATATTGTCTACAAAACTTTACAACATATTAATCCTACCTTGGTATGATGCCGCAAAGCTTTTGTGTCCTCTACCAATGGTCCTGTACTGTATCCACATTCGAGATCCAGTCGAGGTCAAAATAGGAGGTTTATTGCTACCGCAAAAACGACCTGTCAAGTCAGATAATATTATTATCAGCAATCAAAACCATTGCAGAACTGTGTATTTATCCCAGTGTGCCGGAATCAAACTGAGTAATGTGCATGCAAGTTTCGGCCTTATGAACTGTCACGCCCGTGGTGGCTTTCTTTTTCTTCTGCTTCTTCTTCGTAATCGTCGACATCAGTATCATCATCATCTTCTTCTTCTTCTTCTTCTTCTTCTTCTTCTTCTTCTTCTTCTTCTTCTTCTTCTTCTTCTTCTTCATCATCCTCATCTTCTTCTTCTGCCTCCACCTCTTTCTCTGCTTCTTTACCTCTTTTCTTCTATTCTTCGCGTTTACTGGCTATTCTCGCCGACGGAAAGTTCTGGTTGTTTACCCTCCAGGCATGTCAATTGGGGGAGGGGGAGGGGGTATTGACCGTATATTTACAAGGTGTCAACCAGCCTGGGTTAATATGCATGCCTAGTTTGTGTTCAGCAAGACTGGGTATGCGGGGACAAGGTGTAAAGTGTGCAGACTGCCTAGAAAAACCACAACAGCTAAAAAATCCTGGGGTTGGTTCTGTAAAGGATACGAAACTAATTAGCTTATAGAGATCTCACACGTGTATATACTGAGGAGTGCAGTCAAGGAGAAAGTCCAGTTAAGAAGAGTCGAGCAGAGAGAGATGTGTGTTCCTCTGTGAGGAAGCTTGTCTTGGGTGACGACGTGTGTGGCAGTCATGTTCACTACTGAAACAAGACAGTGATTCTAATTACGAGAAGTGACCTTCGTAGATGTTGGCTATTGGCTGTCTGCTGATGCGACTCAGAGTTTGGAGTCCTGCCGGTCATCGTAGAATCCTCAATGTGGCTGATTTGCTGTGTGCATATTAGGGAACTTATGTCTTGTAGGTGTTCCCAGTCAAACGATGTAAAAGTGCCTGTTACTGAGTAAAGCAGTATGAGATCAAGCTGAGTAAATTAGATGGAGCTTGTTCATTCTTAATATAGAAACAGTCTATGGAAAATTTTACGACATTATGGAATTCCAGAAAAAATATTCAACAAAATTGCTTTCTTCTATAAAGACTTTTCCTGCAGTATAAAAACTTACAATACATCTTTCCCAGTAAAGACAAGTGTAAGACAGGGATGTGTTGTGTCGTCTCTCTTCAACCTTGTGATTGATTGGATACTAAAGAACACAGGACATTGAGAGGCATACGATAGACTCCATTCACCATGCTTGAGGACCTTGATTTTGCAGATGATATAGCACTGCTATCACATAAACTGAACATATACAAGAAAAAAGTAACAGACTACACAGCACAGCAGAAATGGTGGGACTGAGAATAAATACCAAAAAAAAAACTAAGATCATGACAAGCAGTCCAAACCAACAACCAGTGATCATAAATAACCACTCTTGAAAATGTAGAACATTTCCCATATCTTGGCAGTGTGGTGTCCCTGCCGGGAGGGACCGAAGAGGACATACAGTCACGTCTGAACAAAGCCAGAGCTGCTTTTGGAAGGAGGAGGCAAATCTGGAAATCCAACAATTACTGCAGAGGAACGAAACTCCGACTCTACAAGAGCATCATTTTGCCAGTTCTTTTTTATGGAGCGGAATGTTGGAGAATAACTAAAAAGGTGCACACAAGCTGTCCACCTTCCACCACACATGTCTACGTAGAATTATCAAAATTTTCTGGCCAGATACAATCTCAAATACTAAACTACTTCAAGTCACAAACCAAGAAACTTTAGACAGTATGATAACCAAGATAAGATGGAAATGGCTTGGCCACTTTATGAGAATGAATCCTGATATACCCGCCAAAACAGCTCTCACATGAACACCAGAGGGAAAGAGAAAACAGAGTCGCCCAAAAAGAACATGGAGACGAACGATGGAAAGTGATCTGAGTGCGGCATCTTTGACATGGAAAACTGCACTGAAGATTGCGCAGGACAGGAAAGCATGGCAAGTCCTCTCTGAAGCCTCATGTGCCACTAGGCATAACGAGAACTGATGATGTTCATTCTTACTGCAAACCCTGACGTGAGAGATGGCTAGCGACCAATGCACTGAAGCGGTGAACTCGAGAGTCTGATTGACAGCGAGTGTACCCTGTACTATAGAGTGCCGCAGGAATGTTTTGGAAAATGCGGAGCTTGAGGGGTCAATTCCATGTTAGCCAGTGTATAGACATAACGATCATGGGTCAAGTGCTCCATTGTCATTCATTGTGTGCGGGTTGGTAGACCCAAACGTTCCTGTGAAAGAAATATATGTTGTTACGTTTTGCTGACTGTGCGAGTGTTGCAGAGTTGAAGCGCAAATCATAACCTAGACACGTGACCATGTATTCGTTTGCTGCCACCCGTATTCAGCATTCAACACGTCCATTTCTGCATTTTTGTCTGGATCCAGAACTTTAGTTTTACTTACATATCCTTTTACAGATCTAGCTTATTTCTAAGCATACTGTTTGTTTCCACATCTGTTGGCAAATGTACTATTGGAATCACCCATACACTAACTGGCGGAAGTCAAGCCGGCAAGGAACTTGATCATGATAAGACTTGCTTGCTTGGAGTTTCGGGTAAGGGCAGTGAGTATATTATTTTCCCTCCCACAATGGGGGGTTGGCGGGGGGGGGGGGGGTGCAGAACCCACAGCAGTAACGGTGTCTTTGATATTATTTGTCATCTTTCTGTGTCCACTATGGTGTTGTTGGTCGCCCTATGCCTCTTCTAGCGGTAGCAATACCCTCCATTTAAGTTTTGGCCAAACCAATGTGGCGTTTACTTTAACTGAAGTATTTCAGTTTACGAGGAATTAAACAAAACTGTTCATGCAATATGATCCTGCCATCTGTTCAACCAGTTTCTTTCAGTCAGTAGTACAGAAGCAGTAAAGTAAAGGATCCTTTTCTGCGCCTTTATGCGTGTTGTGTATAAAGCATTAGACCAATGTTTTATAGATCAGTCAGCACTTTATAGCTAGACAAGAAACCAAATGGTTTCAAGATGGGCATCAGACAGGGCAACACAGAGAGCAATGTTATACAGATACAGCAGGGACAAATCTAGAGGTAGAAGATAGACCGCATAAATATAAGACACAATGAAGACTATGTTATCCATCCTCGATGCAAAGTCGAGAGTCGACGAGTATATCCGGAATGCTGAAGTAGACATCATGACAATCTACACAGACGGCTCCAAAACCAGCACGGGTGCTGTCGGGGCAGGGGTCTACATACCAGCTTGGAAAACAACCCACGAATTCAAGCTTACTGACGATACAGCAGTATGCACGGCAGGGCTGGTAGAGATACTAAAAGCACTGGAGCTAGCCTGCGAAAAGCCGCCCATAAAGCTCCTTATCATCACCGACTCGCTTTCATCTGTCCAGTCATTAAAAGAAAGTGAGTCGAAAAGACCTGAAAGAAGAAATCCTGACTTTGTCAACGAGACTTAGAAGCCTGGGATTCCAGGTAACCATTAGCTGGATCCCAGCTCACATAGGTATCGCAGGCAACGAAGCAGCAGACAGAGCGGCAAAAA